ATATTTAACATTTTAAGTTTTGGGGGGTAGGCCCTAAGAGAGACAGATGTATTGAGAATGTCTGAAGGAACTGGAGATATGACTTCGTTTGAGTATATAAGAAGTTGAGTAGGACTGGAGTATAAGCCAAGTGATTTGCTGTTTGGTGTAGACCTCAACAAAGCACGCAAGAGACCACACTATCCAATGGTTACTATAGAGGCTTCAACCTGACTTTGAGGTGCTAAGAGTTTGATTTCCCTTGATGCACGCAGTGGGTACTGGCAGCCAACAGTGGATGATGAAAGCTTAATGGTCTTAACATTCAATACCTCCTTGGGTCAACATTGATTTCCAAGGCGCCCTTTTGCAATCTCCCCTACTCCAGGAATCTACTCAAGCGAGATGGGTAAACTGTTTGGAAGGGATAACAAAGCCAATGGGTAATAACGAATTTCACAACTTAAACAGAGAAATGAAGCATTTGTGTGGGAAAAAACAATAGTGGCTTTTGAAAACTGAAGTCTGTCATCACTAGTGCCCGGGTGTTAGCATTTGTTTTATGCAAGTAGCACTGGCCCTAATGGTGTGATCATGCAAGGGGGCAAACCCAAGTGCCTCTGAAACGATGTATGTATATATTGAAAGAGAGCTGCTGACTGTTGCGTGGGAACGCAAAAGTTTCACACAGGTGTACAGGCGGAAAGTTATTGTCCAGACAGATCACAAACGGCTCGAGTCAATCTTTCCAAAACCAGTGAATGAGGCACCACCCAGACTACAGAGGATGCTGCTGAAACTCATCAAGTATGACCTTGAAATACGTTAGGTCCCAGGAAAAGAGAAGGTCATTTCAGGTCTTAATCGGAGTAAATCTTGTTGAGAAATTTGGATTTGAAAGCGGCACCCTGAGGTGATTGAAGAACAGCTCAAGTACTGACGAGACATTAAGAGTAGTGATGAGGTATGTCTTGAAAGAATGGCCTTCAGAGAAAGAACAAGTTATTGACCTTACCTTCAGGGACGAGCCAGCTGAGTGTAGAGGAAGGTATGTTTTTTAAATCAGACTGAATTGTAGTCCCAAGACCACGAGAGATGAAATGTTAGATGAAATTGATGGAGCACACTTGGACGAGAGCAAAGCAAACGCTTTTGTTTGCCAGGAATTATGTTTGGCCTCCAACGACTGCCCAAGTCAGTTGGTCTTAGTTGCTGTCCAACGTGTAATGCATTCACCAACCGACAACTGAGAGAGACTTTACATCAGCATACAATTGCAGGATAACCTAGATAGGATTGACCTGTTTGAATATGATGGCCAAACGTCACTGTTAGCAACTAACCTTTATTCAAAGTACTTTGAAATAGAGCTACTTTGCCAGAACACAGCCTCTTGTACCACCAACATCTAGCAGAAAATATTTGTGAGACTTGGAATAAAAGAGAAAGGTGTCAGAGACAACGGACCACAGAAGAGCAACACCAGATAACTGTTCAGCAAAAACCATGAATTCAAGAAATTCCCTGAAGAGTGAGGATTTTACAATACAACCGGCTCACCAGAGTATCTTCGATAAAATGAAGTAACAGAAAGAGCGGTACAGACGGAAAATCTTAAGAAGGCTGCAGGAGAAAGATCCATTTGGAGGACTATTCGAGTATCGCTATAAAACATTAAAGTACGAAGTACTTGAATGATGACACCAACTCATCGACGTCTCTTGTTACCTCAGCCAGTAGGTCATGTTCATTGCTTACAAAAAGGCATCATCAGTGACAGCATAATGCCAAGTCAAATGAAAAAACAGAGTGGATGGGTACAACATGCTGTTTCGTCCAAATGGTGACGGTGATAGGGAATGGTGTAAGGATAAAGTACTGCGACGATCGTAACTACTGGAAGATGAATATAGACATGCTTACAGAAGATACAGAAGACAGATCTCAGTTCCAAATCATTGTCCGATGACCCCAAAGAAAAGGGCTCCTCTCAAGTGCCCATCTTTGTCACTGTCTTCTGAATCCACTGGCACTTGAACCTGAGAAGCAAGGGCAAAGAAGTTGACAGAAACGAACAGAAAAAACTTCACACACGCCCATTTCAACCAAATCTGGGCTCCACGTTATAACACCACAAAGACTCATTGAATCCTGCCAGGGGTGAAATTTTGTAACATTTGAACCAATCTGGACGCCCCTTACTCATGCACACCTCAAAAACGGGTCACCTTGTGCGTCACGTTTTTGGCTTGCTCAGAGTGGTTCGATCTTGAACAGTTTAAAGTAATTTTAACTTGTATTTTATTGACTGATCCATCAACAGAGGTAATAAATGCGGGTGGAGCCAAAAAAAAAACAAGCCTACAGATACAAAAATATTCTTGATGGAGGTGGCGTGATTTTGTTCATTCAACTGGTTTGAGTGGTACGTAAGCCCAAAGGGCCCTGGTGTTGAGCTCAAGATCTATTTGATGTCCCTGCGATGTTAAAGTGAATAAAATTTTTCGGAGAACATGAAACAGTGCATAAATAAATAATGCAGAAATAAAGAGCTTGATCTCAGGTAGGTGCGAGACGAACCTTAGGTAAGATACAAGTGATTACAAAGTCTATATAATCTATAAACTTAAGGTATTTGCACTCTCTAAAGTGAATGAAATTTTTCGGAGAACATGAAACAGTGCATAAATAAACAATGCAGAAATAAAGAGCTTGATCTCAGGTTGGTTCAAGACGAACCTTAGGTGAGATACAAGTGATTGTCTATAAACTTAAGGTCCTCCTCACTTCAGTGCTTTCATTTCCTGCAAGTATTAGTGTGTTTGTACAGAGAACACGTGTACTGTTAACTGAAAGCTTTCAGGACTTAAAAAATTAAACTTATATTTCATGATTCATAATTGCAACTAAATACACTTTGGTAAATGAAAAGTGGTTGAAAACCGAATAGTCAACCCAGTTTGGTTGCCTCACCTCAACAAGTTAAATGCAGATACTTTGAACTACAAAGTAAATAAGGTAATTACTCACTCCATTTATGGTCTGTGCATAACCCAAATCATTATTTTCGATGCTTAACCCTAATCAGTGTCGGCCATTTGCAGAATGACGTCAATTTACTACCACAAACAGGATCTTTTCATTTTTCTTTCCATCTGTAAATTTGGTACTCCCAGCGAGATTTATTAAACAAAAGCCCTAATTTGCCAAGACAGCTAACCCCTGAAGGATTCCGGTCACAGTAGTAAACGACATCATCGGGCAAATGGCCCATTGTCAGTACTACCTAATCACGATAGTCAGCACTCAATCAATATACGAAAGTACTTTGTGTAGGCTGGAAACTAGGGATTACCTTTCACGAGAGCGAGTAAAAGGGAGTCTGCCGCAGGGGGGTGGTCAACGGCAGTTTTAAGGTATATCTGATGTTCCCGCAAAAATCAAGTGAATGTAAACTTTCAAAGTAAACAGAACAATGCTCGATTCATAAAAACGCGCAACTTTCTGTAATAAAGGATTAAATTAACTGCAAAAATCGTGGACGAAGATCCTGCTAGTTGTAAACGTTGGATCTCTACAAAAGAGATCTAATCAGCCAAAATATAACTGAAGAACCAAGAACGAGAAGTCCAAAGACTACTGCAAAGCTGATTTAAGACAACGTGTATTGTTTTTTATAACAATATTTCGGCTGGCCATACCAGCCTTCTTCAGGTTTACAGATGTTACTGAACTTATGTAGTAGCAATCACAATATTATATAAATATAGAATGTCGCAATAAAAATTGTTTAAAAGGGAGAGGCGGAAATGACGCACAACACAAAAACTGGAAAGGAAAAATACTAAAGAGATGGATTACAATAATTCGTCACGGCGGTTTAGGCCATGAGGTTCACGGGTCATGGCCTTATCTATCAAATGCGACTCCCTGGCCTTACGAACTGAGTCACGTGAAGAGTGAATTTTCTCTAGTGGGATTAACTGCATGTCAGTATGAGAATGGTTAGAGTGAGAGAGAAAGTGTTCAGAAACAGTAGTGGGTTTAGATTTAATGTTAGTTTTGTCGACTGCATGTCTGTGTTCGTTAAATCTGTCCTTGAGTCGTCGCTTAGTTTCCCCTATATATTGTAAATTACAACGGTTACATTGAACCATGTAGATCACGTTTTTAGTGTTACAAGTAATGTGTGAAGTGATTGAGCGTGTTTCACCTGTAGCGTAAAAGGTATAACGTGTGAGGCCGTTAGTAATATATGGACAAGTGGCACAATTTTGTCCACAGCGGAAGGAGCCTGGCGGAAAATGATTGTTGGAGATAACGGGTAATTGTGCTTTAACTAAAATGTCACGAAGATTAGGGCTACGTCTGTAAGCAACAAAAGGCGGTTGCTTAAAGACGTCTTTGCAACGGTTAGAAGAGTGTAAGATGTTAAAATGTTTGCGTAGGATATTAGAAATGCGTTGAAGTGCTGGGTTATATGTGACAACAAATGGTACAACATCGTTAGAAGCTTTAGGTTTAGTCTGTAACGCCTTAGTACGTGAAATATTAGCAACGCATAGGAACCGTTCTTCTAGGAAATTATAATTATAACCACGAGCAAGGAGATATGTTTTAATATCAGCAGATCATTCTGCCAAATTAATACGTTTAGGTGTGGGGCAAAAGGTTAAGCCGCGAGCGAGGACCACACCTAAACGTATTAATTTGGCAGAATTATCTGCTGATATTAACGATTTCACGCGACGCATGCGTTTAAAAGAATATTTTCACGATCACAAAAACAGCACTAAACCTAACGAACACAACCCATTTCATAACAAAAGCTCATGGACACCTGCTACTGAGACCCTGCACTTAACACGTACGTAGACGCCATTAATCATGACATCCTTACAGTTAACCGTAATCACATCACTGACAACTTGACCAAAGATGAACGACAAGCATTACGCAACCTCAAGAGGCGACGAAACATAATAATCAAACCAGCTGACAAAGGCTCAGGAACAGTTGTTATGTACAAATCCTGGTACATAGACGAACGCAACCGACAGTTAAATGACGCTAAATTCTACAGACAACTAGACGGGGACATTACTGACACTATTCAACAGCGTGTTACGGTTTACATTGAACGCATGTTTAACGATGGTTACATTGACGAAAAGACTAAAAAAGTACCTAGTACAAACAAACGTGAAACCAGGACGTTTTTACATACTACCTAAAATACATAAAACGGGAAATCCTGGACGCCCCATAGTTTCATCTAACAGCCACCCTACTGAACGAATCTCACAATTTGTTGACTACCACATTTACCCTCTCGTCTCTACATTGGATTCACACATTAAGGACACTACTGACTTCCTTAATAAACTTTCTAACCTCGGTAACCTACCTAACAACGCTATTCTTGTAACTCTTGATGTGTCATCGCTTTACACCAACATTCCACACAAGCAAGGAATTGATGCATACCGTCATTTTCTTGATACCCGCCCTAACAAACACATCCCCACAGAGACACTATGTGACCTCTCCACTATGTGATTCTCACCATGAATAATTTCACATTTAACCAACAGCATTATCCTCAAATCCATGGTACTGCTATGGGTACTAAAATGGCTCCTTCTTTTGCTCACCTTTTTCTTGGTATCTTCGAAACCAACGCTCTCACTAACGACCCTTGGCAGCCTCACACAATCTGGACAGAAGGTTCGGATCGTTTGAAAATATTCGTCGATTATCTCAATAACATTCATCCCACTATTAAGTTCACTAGCTCTCACTCACTTACTAACGTTCCCTTTCTCGACGTCATGGTGTCTCTACATAACGGTATAATTGAAACTGATCTATTTACTAAACCCACGGATAAACATCAGCACCTTCTCANTCGTACTAACGCGTTACAGACTAAACCTAAAACTTCTAACGATGTTGTACCATTTGTTGTCACATATAACCCAGCACTTCCACGCATTTCTAATATCCTACGAAAACATTTTAACATCTTACACTCTTCAACCGTTGCAAAGACGTCTTTAAGCAACCGCCTTTTGTTGCTTACAGACGTAGCCCTAATCTTCGTGACATTTTAGTTAAAGCACAATTACCCGTTATCTCCAACAATCATTTTCCGCCAGGCTCCTTCCGCTGTGGACAAAATTGTGCCACTTGTCCATATATTACTAACGGCCTCACACGTTATTCCTTTTACGCTACAGGTGAAACACGCTCAATCACTTCACACATCACTTGTAACACTAAAAACGTGATCTACATGGTTCAATGTAACCGTTGTAATTTACAATATATAGGTGAAACTAAGCGACGTCTCAAGGACAGATTAAACGAACACAGATGTGCAGTCGACAAAACTAACATTAAATCTAAACCCACTACTGTTTCTGAACACTTTCTCTCTCACTCTAACCATTCTCATACTGACATGCAGTTAATCCCACTAGAGAAAATTCACTCTTCACGTGACTCAGTTCGTAAGGCCAGGGAGTCGCATTTGATAGATAAGGCCATGACCCGTGAACCTCATGGCCTAAACCGCCGTGACGAATTATTGTAATCCATCTCTTTAGTATTTTTCCTTTCCAGTTTTTGTGTTGTGCGTCATTTCCGCCTCTCCCTTTTAAACAATTTCTATTGCGACATTCTCCATTTATATAAATTGTGATTGCTACATTAGTTCAGTAACATCTGTAAACCTGAAGAAGGCTGGTATGGCTAGCCGAAATATTGTGATAAAAAACAATACACGTTGTCTTAAATCAGCTTTGCAGTAGTCTTTGGACTTCTCGTTCTTGGTTCTTAACTTTCTGTCTAGCTAGATGCAAGGTAGACTTTTCATTTTGCCTTGCCCATCGAAAATCTATTTACCAAGTGGCTTGATTTCAGCTTATTGCAGGACCAGCCTTTGATAAGATACAATTGACTGCAAAGTCTACAGATCAATATAAGCTTAGTTAATAACGTGTTCTCCCTCCCCCAAATCACGGTAGTTATTTCAAGCAAGAGAGTGATCGCATGGAGAGTTTCGACTGTAGTCTTGTTTACTGTATAGTTCCGCTTCCACGTTCATGACTCACGATTTTATGTGTCGAGACTGTGACTAAAGGGGTTACACGCATGCTACACACCTACTTTGCAATGGTTAACAAGACGCTACGGAGCTTACACCTCGGCGTCGTGGTTGTGGAACTGATTTAATTATAAATACGGAGAAATAGTAAGAAATGAAATATGGTAAGAGTAAGGTGTTAATTTGTGAAATTATGGAATTTGTCAGGATATTCTGAAAAGAGTAACATCCAAGAGGCCTACTTGCCAAAAACTAGCATTTTGGGACAAATTGTCTCTGAGAAATTAGCCTAGTTATGCTCTGATCACTCCATACAAATCCTTCTAAATTTGACTTGGGTCTCAACGTTTAGACCTAAGTCAAATATGAGGTTACTGGCGGTGAATAACAAGTGTAACAAAACAAACAGTCACACAGTCTTAGTCACATCAGGCTTCAAAAACAGCATAGCAGTGTCATGTACTGATTAAAGATATGTAAGGCACGGGTAAGGAGTCAATTACGTTGAGCATGGAATTGGCTAAAACTCAATGTTACGAGTTCGAATGTTTTGAGGATAATTATTCACTGACCATCAGCACGCAGGGATGTCGGATTAACACAAAAAAGTTTAATACCAAAGGAACATAGCCTTTACAGAGCTTTAAAACACAGCATCCGCCAACACAAACTTGACTTGCGCTTAAGTAAAACTACATAGCCCCTGCCAATAATAACAAACTCTCACTCGAACTTCAGGTATCTTACGGCTTCCGCCAAATGTGAACACAGAACTTGAAAATCGACCTTCGTCACACTTGACTAAACACAGCAGTCCAGCTCGTGGGAAAAAACTTAGTTCGTCAAAAGAACTCGCTTGGAACTTGTATACCGTTTGACATAAGGTTCTAGAAAAAAACTAAACAGGCGAATAGTCGTAGTTTTTCGACATATTTATGATTTCAGTAACTGATGCAAATCTGCTGACTCATGCTGAAATGTAAACATGCCCTAATGAATTATTCATGGCTAATCCAAAAACGTAGAGAACGTTCGAGAAAGTCGTTCGAAAGGAGGGCTCACTTGTGAAATGTTTTTCAACACTCGAAGAGGAATTTCGTGTCTCTGCGCGGCCGCGTAATATCCTCTACTTATTCCACGAGTAAATTAAAGACTAAACTCGAAGTGATCTCAAGATATCACGAAGTAGTCCGGTCTCATTTCGGGAAATAGCCGAAACAAGCCCAAAAGTCACGAACTTGCACGCACAATCTTGTCCCGAAACTAGTGCATCATTTCAGAACTGTTTTTCATATCCCGAATTACCCTGGGTCGCAGTAACGCAATCGGCTAATCCCCCAACTTAGAGTCTCCTTTGATCTGACGGGTCACACAGGTGAGTCGGCTCAAACCCCGGGAAAGCCAAAATAATAATTCTTCTTTCCTCGAAAAAGTTAAAGGATAAATCGAAGAAATCGAAATGATCTCGAGATACCTCGAACTAATTCGGCTCTCACTTCGTCAAATAGCCGAATAAAACTGAAAACCTACAGACTTTGCGTGCCCAATCTTGTCAAAAAATGGCAACTTTGATACATTCCTGAGCGTCGCGAATCCTTTACTTCGCGCTCCGCGGAAGTAATAATAATATTGAAAAAAAGTAAACGCAGGTCCCAAGCTCTCCATCCAGACTTCCTTATTCATTGGTTACGGTGAGTTTATACCTCAATCTTGTTCTCTACCATCCTTTCAAATTTACTGTGAATTTGCTTTGTTAGATAAACCTATTCCTTCCATTCCTTTTAAGGTTAATGGGGAAAGCAAAATAAAAAAACGTTATCACAAATAAGTGGTGTAAAGAGCTGTTCGAAATTGATTTTTATTTTACTTCTCTACCACCAGGTGATAATACTTTGCACTAATAATTAACATTTTAACCTCTTTGATTCCTGCCGGTAAGCCATATACCTTATTCCAAAATGGCGGCAAATTTATTCACTCCTTGTCTTTACGTTAATGGGGCTCTCAAGCCCTCGTTATAACGCAAACATTCTTCCAAGAGGGCTAAAAGAAAAGCATTATTAACACGAGTTTAGAATAAGGAGTATTATTTCTTTCAGTAACAATAGGATGATGGATACCTTTAATCCCTCCAGGACACGAAACCGTTTATATAAAGATGGATTCAGATCTTGGATGTCAAACAGTGGATCATAGTGTATTTTTTGAAGCAACTCTCTTGCAAAATTTGAAACTTCATACCTGATGAAATGTTAGGAGAAAATATCTAACAACAATAAAAGAGGGCAACAATAAAAAAATAAATAGAAATTCTACTCTGGTACTTTGCTTTATGCAAGAGAGAACACACAGGCCCAACCTTGAAATCTATACATAAAAATATCGGTCTAGTCTAAAACACTGTTAAGGTATTAGATGGTTCAAGGCAACGTAGAGCGGGCTTCAGATATTTAAAAAAAGTCGCTTTAAGGGCCTTAGGTTGCCTCAATGCATTTAAAAATAGTCTGTTGTAACAGAAAAGAATATAAGAGTAGCATTAAACAGGTTACAGCATTTGACAAAGGTAAAGGATACTTGGTAAAATCCCACTTCCTGACTATTTTAGCTGGAATTACTTCTAAATAGTTGTTGTGACAACTGCTGCAGAAGTATTTTCCTAAGTAGTGGCAATATCGAAACCGCTTTATGTAATCTGCATAAGAAGAGAAAGAAAATTACCATACAAATAACCTTCACTAAGAATGATTTTTTACCTGAACATTTATCTGAAGGAAAGCATGCTTGACGAAACGTTCAGAAACTCTTTAATAATCAGTATGTTTAACCAGTGCTTTATCGCCGCTTAAAAATTCTTTGGCTTCCCGCTCCAATTTTTAACCAATGATGAAACGCAGCTATTCTCGTTTTAGCTCTGTAAAGTAAGTCCTTTTGAGTAAGTCACTCCTATTTATTTCACAAATGGGTTTCCACACTTTTCCCTTCATTTATATTTTAAAAAATTAATGTTCCTACGTTTCGGCAACATCATGACGTCATTATCAAGGAGTGGAAACAATTGCGATTTTAAAACTCTAAATTTGCATGAATGGACACAGCTAGACAAAGACTTTAACAAGGATTGGATAGGTTTGCACGTTCAAAGGCGGTCTTAATTGTTTGATGTAAAGCATTTCCTTAACGAGACAATCAAATTTGTTCCTGCATTTTTTCAGCACTCTAAGGTCTGGGGCAAACGTCGAATCTAAGTCGTGTCGAATAAATTAAAAATTCTGTGTTTTCACTCACGTGGGCAGCATCTATGCAAATTTATTGAAACAAAAGAAAGCGTTTAGATAAGAAAAGAGTTCAACTCCCACAGGACTGGTTTGGGACACAAACATGGCCGCCGTTTCATTGTTTTGGGACTCAAACATGGCTGCCATGACGTCATGTGAAAACACTCAATAGGTTCGACAAAGAGTCCACTAAATTCCAGCGTGGTAACAAACGTTGAACCTAAGTCGATCCTTTTTCACAAGTTAAACTTCATTAAAACATAGTAATAAGCAAGTGTGCCTGTGCTATTCACTCGATGCGCAGCTAGGTACTGCTAGGACTTGCTAGCAAATTGCCGGGCCTTTTTTTGGCAATTAATTGCGAAAAATAGAACGAGAAAACTAGCATTACATTCAGCTCTGAGAACAGTGTATCTTAGACGACAGCTCGTATTCTTCAAACACTGAACATTTATTGCAAATAGGCAATTCGCATCTCAAGCATTTACATTTAGTGTTCATGAAACACTAAAAACACATTTCCATCACGCTGTGCGATATCAGCAATGACTTTTGATAGCTCGCCTTTCCCGGTCGCGAAACGGTCTTTGTACAGCGCATGCTCGTCATGGAGGGGGAAAATAACGTTTGGCAGATGGGGGAGTCGGTATTTTTGTGACGTTTGCACAGTCCATCAAATTTGAATGAATTATGAATTGAGTTCAGGGCGTGTTTAGAACGTTTGCTGAAACGCCGAACTACTGTTTAAGTATCCGATTTGGCAAGTCGAACTTATGCTGGAGTGGAACCAATTAATTTGAGTCGAACTTAATTGTGGCAAACGTCGCACCATTCATGCGCCCATTTCAAAATTAATAGGTTCGACGAATTAAGTGCGACTAAGATTCGATCTTTGTCCCAGGCCTAAAGCAGCTGCGGAGGTTCTCAGGGGCGGCGCTCGTGTGGTCTTTATCATGTTGTTTGCGCAAAGATGATGATTTACTTTTGTAATCATCCACGCTTATAAAAAGATGCCCACGAGTATAACCAACAAAGCTACCCGTATCGCATAGGTTACATTGAAACTGGTGCACTAAGCACTGTTGATTAACCAGTTGTGGTTTCGTTTCACATTCGTGGAGGTCCTGTCCA